GAGAACATTTAGGTTTTGTTGTGTGTATAAACGTTGAAATAGTGTTCCGAGTCTCAGCAGAGGCCTTATTTTGCACTGCAGTTCTCCGTTTTAAAATTATACAGGAAAAAGTAACCTTCCGGGCACGAAGATGTCAGTCAGTCTTGAATCGCCGCGGGAGAGAAGCAGGTAAATAAAAGAGCTGAAGAACATGAGCAGCCTCGGAAAAATAATATTTTTGTTTATTTTTCCACAGTGCAGGGCTTAATGGTGGGTTAGGGGTTAAGGTCCCAACAGGCTGCTCTCTGCCACGTGCCTCCGGAGTTCATTAGAAACAAATGACAAAAAGAGGTCAGCCCGATCCCCCTCCTGACCCTGCTCCCACAGCCTGGAGGCAGTCGCTGAGATTAGAGCATTTAAAACCCCACCCACACACACCTGCAGCAATAAGACTGCTTTACTTTATTCCCGCTAACTAGAAAGAAGGAAATACTCTACATCGATTCATACAGTGATACTACGTCCAATACTGCCATTTATCGCTTATCCTTGTTGCCATGGAGATGTGTACACAAAGAAGGATTTTGAAACCGGCGCCCATATTTCTTGTCAGACGCACCGTGCATGTGTCCGCAGGCTTGCCAAGGTGGCATCAAAGACCAAAAGGACCGCTACAAATTTTGCGTTGTTTGTTCTGCAGTGATGTTTTTGAAGCTTTACTGAGGCATGCCAAGGTCCTGCCAGACACCCCAGCAACATCTTACACACACACACACACACACATTTTGGAACCCATACGGGAAGACACACATTATCAAGCCACGGGGTCCCACCAGGCCAGGTGTCTAAATATTTAATAACGTTTTAAAAGCACCCCACCTCCCATCCCTTACGTACTCTCTTCTCTTCCCTTTTGGGTCACTGGTAAATCCTGCCAATTTAAGGATTAAGACATTCAGAAGTCCCCTGGTATAAAAAAAGAAAATAAAGTCCATCGCATTACTGTGTCCATCTCAGCTGTTCCTTTACGGGTACACATATCAAAAATATTTACATTATTTTGTACGGAATGGAGCCCCGCATACTCACGGTTCACCTGTTTTTTTCAATAGCCAAACATGGAAAACGCTTGTTGCCCATATTTCATATGATTTTTGGGGGTTAAAATAATGATAATAATAATAATAATAATAATGTTTTTTTTCAAGTCAATTACAACAACCAAAATGTGCTTTTCAATCAGTAAAATAATTAAATCGAATATAAAGAATACACAGTTTGTGCAGTTCCTTCTGGTGTGTGGGCCTTGGCCACCAGGGGGCAGAATACTACTGCCATACCAATGTTCTACATTTAAATACATGAAGAACACAGTAACATGGTCACTGTTCGCAGAGGAAAAACAACATATGCCTGTGAGTATTTTTATATTGTCTGGCTAGACGTGTTGCTACACCATTTGTTGTTAAAAGTCTGCAAAGTCTATGATATTTGTTTATTCTCTTTGTTTCATGTTTAGTTTGACAGCAAACTTAACTAGGAGCCCTTGAGGACAAATGTGTATATGGATAACCGAGCGGAAAGTGACACATTTGCAGTCCGGGCACATGCCTCTTTTTCTAGAGGGAGTATAAGAATTTCTAGAAGGTACCAAGACCACCACAAGAAGGATTTGTTGGAAAAACAGTCACTTAAGGGGTCGGAAAAGTAGCTAAATTGGCAACCCTGAGTAGCCGTTCGTGTCGTCACATGCCCTAACTTCAGGAATGTTTGTCAGGGTAATATGTATTTGAATCACACCTGGAAACAGCGTAACGTGAACCTGAGCGAGACAAGTGGTTGTCAGGTGTTGTGTCATTTTTAATTGTGAATTTTGATGGGGAAATGTCAGATACATTTTGCACAAATGTCTTCTCATTCCTTCTTTTAGAACAAGTGCCGCACAAGCGAAAGAAAAATCAAAACTGCAGCATCGAGTTAATCCTATGATGATATGCTAACAACTCCGGCGGTTTAATTTTTGTGGCAACCTCTTATGTAAGTTTCCAGAAATTTGGCATCAAATTGCACCAACTTAGGATGCCGTTTGCCTTTACAGTTTCTAGTTTTTACACACCAGACTGTTTTTCTTGTATCATCCATCCGGTTCACAGAGGGTCAACACGAGGTTCCTCCTCAAGGGGAAGTTCAGAGATGGGACGATTGAACAGATAACAAAAGAATCTTTAACTAAACACTGGCGTTTATGATCGTGTTTTTGTGCATTCGATCTCTGGTGGAGTGCACAGTATCGCCTCATCTCCTTGCTCAGGCGGCTGAAACTCCAGTAGTTTCTTATCGGCCCGGCAGAATCAATGGAAGCTTTTTTTCCCCCCACTTCAAAGTTTGGTTCGATCAATTTATTAGCATGAGTGCACCGGCAGGACAAACTATCTCCATCTAGAATGTGTTTGTTGGAAGATTGAAATGTGTGGACCTGGGGGACCCCTTTCAGGGGACAGTCCTACCTATATTTGAACCCCTAAACCGACAGATAATTTGGGGAGAAATAATTGGTTTATTACAAAATATTTGTGGATTAGATAGGTCTACTTTTGAAAAAAAAATAACACAATATCATGTAACAGCAATTCTGCAGACCCCTGGTCTACAGTTAATCATCAACAGCACTCATAATAAAACATATAAGCGCATACAGTATAGCAGGTACACACGTACCCCACGGCCTGCAATTTGCTTCAACCTTAAGATATTTTTTTCCTTTCCGCTCTCTTATCATCTCTCCTCACATCTCCCACTGCATTCCTGACATGCCTCACGGAGACAAGGGGTTGGGGTGGTGGTCCGGTGCGGGCAGGGGGGAGGGGCAGAGGGAGGTCTTCGGGATCACAACATGCTCACAATGGCACTGGCTGCAGCCATTGTCCGTGTGAACTGAGAGAAAGGACTTGGTGCTTGCATAGCAAAAGAAGCCCAGATCTGCTGTAACAGCATTCAAACAATTCAACGGCACTTAGTGATTCTCCCCGGGCCGCATACGAGATCTCTGTATCCAATTTCTCTTGCTTCTTTTTTAAAAGTGATGTCCTTTTGGAGCCCCACAGAAAGCAAATCTATTCAGGCTTGGGATTTCAACTAACTGATCTCATGAGAAGACAAGTAAATCCTCAAAACCTTGTGGCAGGCACGCCAGGTCTGACGCCTCCGAGTCAATCTGCCAACGCAACACTACCATCTGCTGGTAGAAGCCTCATAAACCCCCCAAAAGTACTAGACAGTGAAACTTTGAATCGTTCTATTCATCCAAAAGTTTTCTTTCGGGCTCATCCTGTTCAGGGTCATGTGAGCCTATCCAAATTGACTTTGGGGGAAATGCAGACTAAACCCTGGACTGGGATAAAGAGTCAACCATTAACACTCATCATCATGTCACTGAGGGGGAAATCGAATACACACTGCCTAAACAAACGCCACGCCAGAAGAAGACAAAGAAGAAGCAGCAGGAGGAGGTCTGTCCGTTCTAAAATAATGGTGATGAATTGTCATTTTGTAATGGTGGAAGCGCAGTTAAAATAATGTTGAAGTGACAGACTGGCGATGACAGTTTTGGGCGACTTGAAATAAAGATGGACTGACGATGATGGACGGGTGGCCCGGATGCTGGCGAATGGCGGACTGGCAAAATCTACAGACGCACCCGCCTGAAAATTAGAACGTTAAGCAACCATTTGACGTTGCTTTTAATGTTTAATGAGAACACATAATGGGAATTGCCATAGACAGGCTAACAAATATCATCTGTGTTATTACACTTTCAGTGATGCATAGTTGAACACAAATGGTGCAGCAACATATGTAGACAGAAAGTATAACAATATTCACATATATTCTCTATCCTCTGCAAAAAAATAAATATTATTGCAGTGACTGAATTACTTGCAGTAGTCTTCTTCGTTTTTGTCTGCATGACATTATCAAACTGCAATCCAGAAGGGGTCACAAAGTATTAATTATGAGACACTAAGTGTTTAATTCTTTACATTCTACTTAATGATGGTATTATGACATGTTTTTTTTCGTACAATATAATTTCATGATCACCTTCTGTTAGTGTCCAGCAGGTGGCAGAGGCGTTCCCGGTTTTCCTGCTGCGCACCGGTCTGGCATCACAATTATTGGGACTATTTAAGGACCTCATGGACCTACGTCAAGCTGTCGGATAATTTCGCCTTGCTCGATGCTCTCCCATTACTCTGGTTCTGTTTTTAGCTCTTGCCGGGATTTATGTTTTCCCCGTTTTTTTAGCATAATTATTTGTGCTTTGTCAGTCTTGTGCCTACGTTTTGTAAATAAATATTTTAGTTCGATAAACTTTCCTGGGTCTCCGTTTGTAGGATCCTGTTCTGTTTGGAACCTTCCGGACGCTGGACAATTATTTTCCTCATTAAAAAAGAGGTTTAGGATTAACGCCATTTTGATGGAGAAATATGATTTGTGTTCGTAAAGTTTTAAGTTACAAGCATGATCCGGGATCAAATGAAACTTGAATTTCAAGGCAACGCTCTATTTTGACTTCCTGTCGGTGAAATGACCAGGTGTCCCGATAGTTTTGTGCATACACTCCTACACAAGCTCCGTCATGCAAGGCAAAATCCATCAGCGTTCAGCTTGGCTGCACCCTGTCCGGCCGTGTGTATTTCCTGTTACGGACACATTGAGTCACATCCTTCCCGCTGCCTCTAGCAGCCTTCATTTCCCTCCAGCTGTGCAGCCCCGACTTCCATGACGGCCAGGTTAATAGCCGGGTCAACATAGCTTAGCGCTACAATAGCTCACTAATCCCTGTTCTTCACTCCAGCTACCCTAACCTTGTGTAACTTGAGTTCATCTGACACGGATAAATGCTGGATTAGAGCAGCCCACCGGAGCTTGGAAACACTGAGGAAAAGTGAGTGTGGAAAAAGCCTGTGATGCACACTGGAGAAGCACGAAAACATAGAGGAAGAGAAATGCACACTCACTGAGGTGTAGCTGGTCTTGCCTATGTTGTGGTTCTGGTTGTAATTGAGGTTCTGGTTCTCCTGCTCTCGGCACTGCAGCCCCGCCAGGTGCCTCTCCAGGGCTGCCCAGTCCATGGTGGGCAGAGTCTCTTCTTCTACAGCCTCCTCTTCTCTGTAACCCCCCATACGTCCCACAGTCCCAACACCGCCTCCTCCTCCGCCACCCCCGCCTGTGCTGCGGCTGCCCCTGCTTTGACTGAAGCTTTGGTGCCTGGGCTTGGGAGTCCCCGTGAGTCCCCCCTGTGGTGTGCCAGGGGAGTGGAGCAGGTTGCTACGAGGCGAAATCACATTCCCGTTTTGTTTGAGTTCCTCAGGGATGGCGGCGATGGTGGCGGCGGCGGTGGTGTGCCCGCTCGGGGCCGAGAGGGGCGGAACAGACTTCACATCCTGTAATTCTTTTCCAAGGCTGCGGCTGCTCTTCCTGTCGCCCTCGCTGACCTCGTCGGGCCCCATGATGCCACTTCTGCCTCCCTCCTGACCGGGCGCTTGCGGAGAGGCGTAGTTGTCTCCGTACTCGCTCTCCCACTCCTCCATCACCTTCTTCTTGTACTCTTGGTAGTCCTCATCCTCCTCATAGTCCTCAAGGGTGACGAGGTCCAGAGAAGGGGAGGATTTATAGTCATCCAGCGTGGGCAGGTCAGGAGAAGGGGAGCAAGGAGTAACTTTGTTGGAATTGGACTCTGAGCTGGAGCGACTGGACGCGTCGCTCCCCAGGTCCATGCCATCCTCCCGGTAGTCCTGCAGCAAAACAAGATAAATCAAGCAGACATCAGAGGATGTATAGCAACAGAGAAACATTCGGATTCTCTTTGCGTCCCTGAAAGAAAAGGTCGCAAATGCACCTTGTGGAGATAATTATTGGGTTCTCTGAAATTGGGGTGCAGCGGGTCCTTTTCAGGATTAATTATTGCACTCCGAGGACACCGCCTGCACCTTTTGCAGGACCAAAAAGCTTCTGATATATGCCCAAATTCTAAAATTCAAGTGTCATGGCTTTAAAAGCAGGAACTTTGTACCTCTTTTTGTACTTTTCTGCTCGGTCGAGTGTAACTGTATGAACATGCAAGGACTTAAAGATGTTCTAAATAGAGCACTTGGTCAGAGTGTTTTATCATGAACGCCAATTTCAATCAAATTAATCTCAATGGTGTTACGGTTGTTGAAGGAATGAAGGAAAGTGTCAGGGATTATGGAAAAAAAAAGTGGTTCCTTTGAGAATTTTGAACCTAAGTACGTTGAACTATGCATCAATTCACTCATTTTCCAAAGGTCTAATCCTCATTAGGGTCACAAGTGAGCAAGAGCCTTTCCCATGTGACTTTGGGCTCGAGCCGGGTTAGGCTACGCCCTGGACTGGCTGCTAGCAAATCGCAGGGCAGACATTGTGCCACTACAGATGAAAAGTATAAGAAATAGGGAGACAGCATGGTGCACTGTGTCCATTTACATCCAAGGACAACGAACATCAGAGGTGGCCAAACCTGATCAGCCGTCTGCAGAGCTTAATGATGAGCTGATAATTTGAATCAGGTGGGTCGGAGGAGAAGGAAAAGATCCAGGACATGGAGAACCGTGGCCCTCGAAGACCTGATTTGAATTTGGACACCCCTGATCGACACTAATTAAGTTACAAGCAACCCTAACCCTAACCCTAACCCTAACCCTAACTCGATTTGGACACCCCTGATCGACACTAATATAACTCCTGGAACTAATTATCGCACTCCAAGGTTTGATTCTATTCTTGGGCCGGCCAAAAGGTTGCAGATATGTTCCTGAACCATTTAAATTGCTGTACCAAAGTTATTTGGCGCCTTATACCTCAAGTTACAGTGACAGAAAGAGAAGCAGAGTACAATAATGTTGACTATCCTTCGTCAAATCTGCTTCAGTCCAGCAGCCTCATATTTCCCACTTCCTGTCCAGCAGGAACTTCCTGTCTGCTCATAATTTTGCAGCCCAGCTTCTTTTGGGCCACTGATTCTTGAAAACATTCCCTTCGGAAAGCGCCCAGACACAACAGAAAGCGCACACAGTTGCATAACCTGCGCATGGTAACCCAAACACAACCACTACAACAGCACGAGCCCACAGGGACATAGCAGAGTGTTGCGGCGGCTTTGAATGAGTAACGCGCACGTGTCACCGCATATTCACAACAACCCCGACATGATCCAGCAGCTGCTGAGCTGTAACGTGACCTTGACTCTCTGCCCTACCTCCGTCCCTCCTTCTGCAATCACCAACTGACTGATTAGTTCACAAGGTAATGAAAACGTCCTCACTGTTTACAACCCTTCTCAGATCTCCACCTGACCCGAGCGCCCCCTTCGCATCCATCAGGGAGGTGCCAAATTTCTGTGCGCCGCGGCCACAAATTTATGACACCTTTCCGGAGAGCTACATTAAGAGTTGCCCTAAAAAGCAAAAGGACGCATGAAGATGGACTATGACCGCTTCGCTTATGACTGCTTCCAGTAAGAGTTCCTGTCTGTCGCAGGGGCAAAGCATCATAAAAAAACATTATTAGTCATCATTTCCGGCATGTTTACATCACACTTTCTGGGCAGGAGAGGAAATTTACAGCAAGGAGACACTTTATTAGGGACACTTTCATAATAATAGAACATTATCCACCACAGGGTTTGGAGTTATTCTTTCCAAATGGTCATTATTGTCTTTTTCAGTTTTGTGGAACTACACTAAATCATCATGACAGCTGTTTCTAATATTTTGTCCACCTTTTTGGCACCATGATTGAAACAGTGTACTGTATTACAAATAGCTCTCATATCAAGTAGATTTCATGCTTTGAATCATAATGCGAAGGGTTAATAATTTATATGTGTCAGAAAAGTTCCAGGACTTACAAAGGATATATTTCAAGTCTAAATTACAAGTTTTCCCTTTGGAAGTCATGCTCTCTTGGAAAGATTCTTCCAACTCGATCGCCACATTTAGTTTGATGTTGTCTATATCTTCAAAACGGGCCCGTTTGATGACCATGTTGAGCTTGGGAAAAAGGAAAAAAAAACCCCACGAATTTAGGAATGTTGTTCCAGCACGCTGATGTTCTTCTCTGCCAGGAACTGACAGATGCTCAGAGAATTGTGGCAAAGCTCATTGTCATAGTGAAGCAACCTCGAGTTGTCTTGCCTCATCTCGGTCACTGGAAGAAGCAAACGCCGTCAATTGTCTGGAGCACGCTGAAAGGGAAAACCGGTGCTGTAACACTGTCGTTTCACGACTTCTACTATCAATTTAAGGGACAATATATGAGAAACACATCTCAGTCGACGTCGTTCAGTTGTAAGACTTTTTCAACAAACACCAACAGAAAACATACAGTAGTAGAAACACCTCTAAAATCAATTTAATGCAGGTCAGTCCAATACTTCTACAAAGAATAAATAAGTGGCAATCAGAACCAAGCTTAACCTTTGCAAAGGCAGATTTATTTATTTATTTTTTTACTCTATGGACCTTCTAAACTTAATTCTGTCCCTACAAAAATTGCGAAACTTGTGCATTGAAGTTGGAAGTGAAAATATGGCAAATACTGTTGGCGCTAAATGCTGTTTTATCAAAGCAGAGTAACCTTGCAGTAAACGCCACACGCGCAACACCCCACCCCCCACAACCACCAGGGTGGGTCCCTAATGTATGTGCGTAACTGCTTGACAAGGGAGTCTTGCCCTCTGCATTTGGCATTTCCGTTGCCAACGTCCAGGAGCTGCCACATTTTAAGGTTACCGCACTGATAGCAACGGCTATTTGGACCCGTAAACTAGCAACTGTGCAATACGGATATCGACCTTAGATCGCGGTGGTCAGCAACGCACCACGCAAATCACCATCCCGACGTCCATGCCGCTTTCCCTTTGACGTTGCAAACCTTACGTACGTGTTCCAGAAACTACAAACAGAACCTCCTTTTTAGGTTCTCAAAAAGTGAGATGACCGCTTTGCATTGCTTCAAAAGCGATGGCCGTCTCTCCACACACACAAAAAAATCCTAATCCGATTTGTGCAGCCTCGGAGCAAAGCAGCGTCTGGCTCGCAAAAAAAAAAAAAAAAAAAAAAATAGAGTACGAACCAATACCAGCGTGCGATTGGTCGCATGAACTCGAATGCAATATTGTAATCAGTTAAAGTGCCTGTTTATGAATGAGAATGAGACGTGGAAGTATGGAAGGGAGGAAAGGCGTTGCAAAACGGCATTCTGGACATGTAAAAATAATCCGCGGTGGGATTAACTAACACCATGCACACACACGCGCGCACACACACACGAACACGCACTCACACAAACACAAAATACCCCCCAATACACACACACGAACACCCTGGATTTCGTTTGGCCACCTAAACCGGCTGCATGCACACTAACAGCTGCACCGTCGTCTTCCCCCCCCCCCCCAACCCCTTCCCAAATTAGAAGGGGGGTCTTCGTTGCGACTCATTTGGTTTCGTGTTTTGCACAATTCAAGATGGGTTGAGGGAGTAACCATGGTATCCGCCCTGGTGACATGTGTGCACGCGTGACATCACCTCCTGCACCTTTTCTGAATGAAAAAGGCGCATCTCATTCTAACCCCATTTGCAGAGTCATTCACGGTACCGTTATGATGTAATGTTCCCACAAAACTCCCAAGAGGAACCTGATACCCCCCCCCCCCACACACACACACACACGCACAAAGACAGCGTGCACACGCGCACATGTACACACCGGCAGTGACAGAAACGCCCATACGAGCTCCGTAATCCTTTCGCGGCATGCCTGCAATTCAATGCAAATTGACGTTTCTACTCACTGTCATCATCTTGTAAGCTTTCACTCCCGCCTCGCGTTTCAAGACATTGTCAAAGTGTTCAAATCACAGCTCCGAGGCTCTTCCGACTTCCCAGCAGCAAGCAGCAAGCAGCAGCAGCTGATGGTGTATCCTAAAGGCGGCTGCTGGCGGTGCCGGCTCGGCCACCGAAATGACAGACAGCCAGGCGAAGAGGAGGACATCTGGCTCCCGGCATCGCCGTGTTAGTGTGTCCGCAAATGAATGAAGAAATAAATCAGGATGTTGTGGTTTGAAATCCAAAAAAAGGTTTCGCTCCTTTCACGCGCGCCGAGCTCCGTGCGTCCTCGTAAGAGTGAAGTGGAAGAAAAACGGGAAGCGTCTTCAGAGCCCACGCACGGTCAACGCTGAAGTTATTGAACGCGATTTTACAGACCACCTCCTCAAAAAGAAATACATTCTCTTTTTCGAAAGCCGTGCGCACGTCTGGACTCGGTGGGGAAAGTGACGACAGAAGACAAGCACTGACCTTGCAAAAGGTGGGGGGAGAGCGAGAGAGAGAGAGAGAGCGAGAGAGAGAGAGAGAGAGAGAGAGAGAGAGAGAGAGAGAGAGAGAGAGAGAGAGAGGGGGGGTGAGCGAGGGAGGGAGACGGCGAGGGAGTAGGGGTGAGGGAGAGGAAACTATTTGGGTGAATTATTAAACACTTCTGCTCTTCTGAATTTAAAGCCTCAGAGTTTTGTGTTATTGCATCCACTTTTTGGAGTCAAAGTGGCTTCAACAGCAGCAACAACAAAATGCTATGTCTTTTTTTTTTTAAATAGAAGCAGACAGTGACACAGATCAAAAGCAACTGCTTTGGGCTTCCTATTTGAACTGATAGGAATTGGCTTCCCAACTTGTGTCGAGGTCCCAGGTTCAATTCTCAGTTTAAGGTGCTCTGCCTG